AAACTACAACCTACTTAAAAGAAAGATACAAGAATATCTTAAGTACTAAATGTTTTATTTGAATCTAGTTTTGGGATGTAAACAATTATTAAGCCAAATTTATTTATTTATTTCAAATTAGTTAGGGTATTAGGTTAGAATACGGCACCATACTGTATTTTGTATTCTTAAAGAAATTTCAATAAACTACAAAAAAAATGTGATATTTATTTAATTTTGTCATGATTTTAGGAATTATATTTATTTTGTTATATTTTTATACCCAAAAAAACTGAATTTATGTTGGGTATTATTAAAATAAAGTTATTATTATTATTATAATCTACTTCAGTATGTGAGAACGGTGGTGAGGGTGTGATTCTTGGACCCGGCAGATCGCCCATCAGTTGTGGATCAGAAAACGTATTTTGTTATTTCCATTTATGATCCAGTACTTTTGACGTATGTATGATAATTAGTGTGGTGAGGTAAATGTCGTACAGTAATATGATGAGATGTTTTTGCTCAAATGGAAGTAGACAATTTCTTAGTCGTCCTCCAACTCTAATGATATAATTTCCCTCCAAAAATGGAAGCTTTTGTTAACGCTTGTTTTGTTTTGAAGCGCTCGTAGATCATCTGTCATTGCTTTTTTTTGTACCATTGTAATAGTTTGATTTATTTTCGGAATGAGGGGCTAAATTTCGACGAGGGCAGAGGGAACTACTTATGGCTGGCGCGGCCGGCAACACTTAGGTAAAGACAAGATTCAGTATCGCACAGGGGGGCAAACAATTCTAAAGTCGCTACCAGGAACTGGAGTTCGACTCGGACAGAGACCAACAAGGATAGGTTCTAGCAGCGTACTAACCCACCTACCCCCATTCATGAATCCCAAGTAAATGGGGTTATTACTAAAGCCCTGGTTAAGGAGGATTCTGCAGTGTACTTAGTTTTGGGTAAGTTCAATTTCCTCCAAAAACCAACATGTTTTCCCTCCTTGTCCCGTTCTCCACTAGCCTAAATTGGGCGTATGGTCGGCCTGGCGACAAAATTTCGTGAATGGCCTTAACCATCGATATTATCATCCACGACCTCCTAGGGGATATCTACCAGCCGGAGTAAAAATTCGGATCCAACAAACACAGGTAAAGCTACATTTGTAATGAATTCGCTGGCCGAGTGACACTTTGGCTCGCAAGCCAAGCAAATGTATTTACGTGTGATCGTTCACAATGAAATTCGACGTTCAAGTGTAAGTTGAAGTGGGCAAAATTTCTTGCAAGTTGCAAACTTCGACTTTGACTTCGACTTTCGTGTCGGCTATGGGACATGCGCATTGCTTTTGTTATGATAATTTGACATTTATAATCTGATTTTCAATAACGTTTAGTTTTGTGCAAACGAGAGTTTACTACCTATACCTTTATAATCTGTGACCTATATTGAAAACAAAATGAATGAAGATGACGTTACTCCAATTTTACTTGCAACAATTCTGATTTTATTGTTAAAAAAATGCAATAGTTGATGCAGTTAGAAAGACGAAGGGTCCCTCCAAAGCCTAAAAAATGGGGCGTTCGTCCAATTTTAATGGAACACAAAAAATTTGGATTTTATGAAAATCTTTTGCAAGAACCCCGTTTAACTGATCCTTATATATTTTTTTAATTTTACAAGGATGTCAGCATCTAGTTTTGATAAGCTTTTACAAATAGTAGGACCACACATTAAGAAGAGATCCAACAGAGAACCTATATCTCCAGGGTGTAGTTATGGAAAGTAGATAAATAAAAACACCCTAGTGCTACCTAAGTACATACCAAAAAGAATATGCTTATTTTTTTTTAAACGAAAATATTTAATTTTACATAACCTAATATTTATTTTTTTGTTCTAGATTAGCCATTACATTAAGATGTTTGGCCACCGGAGATAATTATCCAAGCCTGTGAGTGTCAACTATATGTGAAATAATTAAAGATACATGTTGTGTCATTTGGAATGAGTTACAGCCAATAATTTTACCTTCTATGACAGAGGATGAGTGGAAAGTATTTCCAAGGATTTTTTATTTCTTTGGTCGATGCCCAACTGCCTTGGAGCAATTGATGGCAAGAACATCATTATGCAGGCACCATCAAATTCTGGATCTTTGTTTTACAATTACAAAAAATCATTTAGCATTATTTTATTAGCAGTATGTGATGCTAAATATAATTTTATTTGTGTGGACATTGGTGCATATCAGAGTGATGGTGGTGTCTTTTCTCCCTTTGGCAAAAAATTATTTGCTAATGAGCTTAATATACCATCATTACAAGAACTACCATACTGCCTAACAAATATAAAAATACCCCATTTTTTTGTGGGTGATGAGGCCTTTTCCTTAAGGAAAAACTTAATGAGGCCATTTAGCAAGCCTAGAGCAGGTTCCTTAGCTCGTGATAAAAGAGTTTTTAATGATCGGCTCTCTAGGGCTAGGAGAATAATTGAAAATACTTTTGGTATAATGGTGGTAGGTTTTAGAATTTTCCATCGGGTTATAAATGGCAATGCAGAAACTGTAGACAGTATTGTGAAGGCTACTGTATCTCTTAACAATTTTATTAGGAGTGAAAATAATAAATTATATTTAACCAATGGTGATGTAGATAGGGAAGTTGGGGGCAAAGTTATACCAGGGAGATGGAGGAATGAAATTCCCAAAGAGGATACTGCTTTTGAAAATGTTCCCATAAGACTTGGTGCAAGAAATGCCCCGTTTTCAGCTCTGGCACTGAGAAATCATATCAAAAATTAGGTAAATGGAGAAGGGGCACAATTTGCACCATGGCAATGGGAAACAATTGATAGAACAAATTAATGTGTCCCAAACATAATTTACCACTTTTCTAAAACGCCAAAAATTATCAATTAATTAGAACAAAAGTTTTAGCAAATTTTCTGGCCCACCCTCTAATACAATAAAATTGAAAGTTAGGGGTAATTTCGATGTATCATTTGTTATTTTAGTAGTAGTTTTTATAATATTACTTTAGTTAATAACTTTATTATTATTATTTATTATTATTATATTTTATTAACTTTAATAATTAACTTTATTAAGTATTTGCTTTTAATATAGTTATTTTTAAAATAAAAAACATTAAAAAAAATAAAAGTATTTTATTAACTCACTACTTAAACATTTTTCATGTTTAAATTTTTAATATCTTAACAAAAATATTGCAAATTTTGCAAAAAACAAACTAAAATAAACAACATTTTTATAATATAAAATAAAACAAACATAATATTGTAGGAAATAAATTTGAAAATACCGCCATACTGCCGGTAAAGTAGTTATTGACAGGAAGTCAGGTTAAGTTAGAAATAATAAGATGGCGAATACGACCACCTGTACGTTGTATAAAGAATAAAGTTTAAAGTGAAATCTTAAGTTTATCGTTTCAATTTATGGCCATCCAAGATTATTTACCACAAAATTCAGAGGTGGGATGACGGAGGAAAGAGTTTTCCACGGTATGACTGGAGAGGAAGGAGAAAAGTCTACACGAGAGGTAACCTTGTCGGTAGATGATATTATTACAACAACAGTAAGAGCTTTGTTAATCCAACAAAGGCAAAATGCACCGACCGCAGACAATAGGGCGAATCAGCCCGTTCAGTTAAAAAACTATAAAATAAGTGCCATGCTTCCCGAAGTAACGGGCTTAGGAGAAGATGTAGAAATGTTTTTAGACAGAGTGGATGCTGTTCAAGTCGCTTACCCAGAAGAAATTATGACCGTGATTGCTGTGGGAAAATTCACGGGCCAAATAAAATCATGGTATCATTCGAAATTAGAACACGTGCAAATGCCATGGCAAGAACTAAAAAGTGAAATTAAGAAAATGTTCGTTGTCAGACAGGATAAAATAACTATGATGAAGAAATTCGAAGGTAGAAGATGGAGAAGAAACGAAAGGTTTCAAAGTTATTTTCAAGATAAGGTATCGTTGGGCAACAAGTTAAATTTGAGCGAAGCTGACATTATTGACTATATCATAGATGGTTTTGACAAAACATCATTGCAGTCCTAGGCAAGGATGCAAGAGTTTAAGTCCTTGACAGACCTTCAGCGAGTTATTAGTATGGTAGCACCTTCTGATCGTGGCCCCAGCTACAATGTTAATAAGTTTACACCTAGAAATACGCCAACTCCAGTGAGCGAGCCCCTAAGTCAGGCAGCAGGTTCCAGACAGAAAGCAGCCCCCGTTGCCACCAGTACCCCAAGACCACCATTCCGATGTTACAACTGTAATTGCATAGGTCATGCTGCTAATGAGTGCACTAGGCCAAAGAGGGAGAGAGGTTCCTGCTTCCAGTGTGGGCAATTAACCCATGTATATCGAGACTGTCCTGAGAGAGTAAGAAAAACAGAGACTGCCATTCAGAAAGCAGATACGACTACAAATGTTGTGCAGGACTCTTCTTCAACAAAAATTAATGGTAACCCTTATATTTTGACTTTTGGGTTTAACTATGATTTTGACAATTGTAAAAATTCAAATTATCTTTTTGCATTACTTGATTCAGGTTCTCCAATAAGTTTGATTAAGTATGATTATGTCCCTAAACATTTGATTAATCCAAATGACAATCCGACTGAGTTTTTTGGTCTAAATGGCTCAAAATTGGTTGTCCTTGGTCAATTTCAGATAGATATTTGTTTTGATGATATTAAGTTAAATGTATGTTTTATGTAGTTCCTAATCATACTTTGTCCTATCCTGCAATCCTAGGTCGAGATTTCTTATGTCATGAAAATTTGCAATTTACGTTTGGCGGACCCTCATTTAAGATTAAATTTAACGAAACTTTTAATAGTGAAATTTTGAATATTTGTGTTGATTCTTATGATAATGTTAAGGATGTTTCCTTAAGGGTTTCTACTGATTTAAGCAATGAAAATAAAGATAAATTTATTAAACTTTTTAATGACACTTACAAAAGTGTAGACAAAAGTTATTTTAAGGTTAACGATTTTGAAATGAATATAGTTTTAATGCATGATCAACCAATTTATTTCCGGCCACGAAGGTTGTCTTATTCTGAAAAAGAAAATTTAAAGTTAATATTAGCAGACTTACAAAACTCTGGTATTATTAGAGAAAGTAATTCTCCTTATGCTTCACCCATTGTTCTTACAACTAAGAAAAATGGAGAAACACGTCTTTGTTGTGACTACCGTAAACTTAATAAAATATCCATCAAAGACAATTACCCAACTCCTCTAATTGACGACCATTTAGACACTATGAGAAATAAAAAATATTTTAGTTGTTTAGATCTACAGAATGGATTTCACCATGTTAAAATTTCGGAAAAGTCCATTCCTTACACTTCTTTCGTAACCCCTTATACGAATGGCTTTACATGCCTTTTGGACTCACTAACGCTCCGAGAGTTTTTCAAAGATATATTAACATGATTTTTAGCGAACTAATTAAACATAATAAGATAATTGTTTACAGTGACGATATCATGGTAGCTACCGAAACTATTCCGGAACATTTCGAAATAGTAAAATCTGTTTTAAAAGTTGCAGCTGCCAACAATTTAAAATTCCGAATCGACAAATGTAATTTCTTTTACACCGAAATTACTTATTTAGGCTATTTAATTAGTGAACATGGCATATGGCCAAGTCCCGAGAATGTTCAAGGTGTCTTACAATATCCTATTCCTAGAACGTCCAAGGAAACACATAGATTTTTAGGGTTGGCTAGCTATTTTCGCAGATTTATCCCAAATTTCTCTATGAAAAAATATTATTTTACGTACCTGAGTCCTTGGAGTCTTTTGTAATCCGATCATGTCATGATGATTTAGGCCATTTAGGTCTCCCCAAAGTAGTTGAACAAGTTCAACGAATTTATTGGTTTCCCCAGATGCGTAATAAGATTAAACATTACATAGAAAATTGTCTTAAATGTATCGAGTTTTCTCCAGTTAGCGGTAAACAAGAAGGTTACTTACATAGTATACCTAAAGGTAAACTCCCTTTTAATTGTATTCATATCGACCATTACGGTCCCTTAGAAAAAACTTCACGTGGTTTCAAATATGTTTTAACCGTTATTGATGCCTTTACTAAATTTGTTAGATTATTCCCATGCAAAAGTACTACTACGGACGAAGTCATTAAACATTTGACAACTTATTTTAATATTTACAGCAGACCTTCGAAGTTAATTTCTGATCGTGGAACATGTTTTACCTCCATTCGTTTTAAGGAATTTTTGAAAGCAAAAATAATTGAACATACGTTAATCGCTACGGGTACTCCTCGTGCTAATGGACAGTGCGAAAGAGTCCATCGAGTAATCACACCAATAATTTCTAAGTTAGTATCTAATCCCGCCGAATGGGATAGTATTTTAGTTGACGTTGAATTTTCTTTTAATAATACAATCTGTAGGTCAACGGGTAAAACTCCCAGTAGGCTTCTTTATGGGATAAACCAAAAGGGTACAATTAAGGACAGTATTAGGACAATCCTTGATAATTATTGTGACACAGACCGCGACCTTTCCCTGATTCGTGAAAACGCTTCTAATAAAATCGAAAATACCCAAGTTTATAACGAAATTAAATATAACGAAAAACATAAACAAACTCGTAATTATGCCGTGGGCGAAAAGATTATGATTAGAAACGTAGACACTACACCAGGAATAAATAAAAAGTTAATGCCGAAATTTAAGGGTCCCATAACCGTTCAAAAAATTTTACCCAACGACCGTTATATTGTCACTGACTCAAAGTTCCAACTTAACCTATTACCCTTCACTGGAACAGTAGGTCCTGATCAAATGAAGACTTACCCCTGTTAATTTTCCTTATTTATGTATTTTATGATTATAAACCTTATGTATTTTTTTATTATGACCAATGCATTTTATGATTATGTATGTATTTTATGATTATGACCTTTATGTACTCTTTTATGATTGTAACTCATAACTTATGAGCCTCATTTTGTGCGTTTATGTGTTTTATGTATTTATGTAAACGAGAAGTCAACTTGATGCATGTTCGAGGACGAACATTTGTTAGGTTGGCCGATCTGTAGGAAATAAATTTGAAAATACCGCCATACTGCCGGTAAAGTAGTTATTGACAGGAAGTCAGGTTAAGTTAGAAATAATAAGATGGCGAATACGACCACCTGTACGTTGTATAAAGAATAAAGTTTAAAGTGAAATCTTAAGTTTATCGTTTCAATTTATGGCCATCCAAGATTATTTACCACAATATGTAAAGAATTTGGTAATAATAAATAAAATAAATATAAAAAAATAACAATTTTTTGTAATACTTGTAATACTTAAAACTAAAACAGTTTTAAATTAGTATAAGCTACTCGTATTCAGTCTTATAAAAAGCAACATTAACAAAAAAACAATTTCTAAAGGCAAAGAAGGGTCTATGATTTAAAACTAAAACAGTTTTAAATTGGTATAAGCTACTCGCATTCAGTCTTATAATAAACAACACAGAAAAAAAACAACTTCTAAAACTAATAGTCAGAAGAGGCTGTGAACATTTTGTTAAAGCAGACTGTATGTGCATAGCCTCTAGGTAAACCAAAATTTGTAAGACTTACAAATAATAGTTCTAAATGTCAGATCTTAATTCTCTTTTGTAATTTATGATTGTCACCTGAAACTCCTCCATCACAATGTGGCTCACCAATATTTTTTAGTTCTGAAGCCATATAACGGGAGAATAGTTTGTACCTATCATCAGTATATTCTTTCTTGTTACTATTTAAATTATTTATAGCAGCTGAAACATCCACTAAAACAATGTCAATTTGTTTTATTTCTGTTTTAAGGTTGGTTATTTCTGCTACCGATCTTCCTTTTCTTTTCTTAGCTTTTGGCACATTTAAGTTTTTATTATTTGTATTGCTTTTTGAGTTAACTGCAATATTTTCATCCACAATTTTAACAACTATGTTTTCTTCTTCATCTGAATCAGTAAGATTATAATATAATTCACTGGCTTGTAATGTAGTATCTTGAAGAGAAACATTGGATGTTGTCTGCCTCTGTGATTCCTCACTACATTTATACATAAATTTGAAAAAAACTCATAAGAGGCCAAACAGGTCTCGTAGATGCAGCAGCACCACTTCGTTCTAGTTTTTCCCTTATTTGCACTTCTCTTCTGTATTTTTCTCTGAGGCTTTTAAATCTAGCTTTTACTTCTGACGCTAAAAAATAAAATAGAATTAAGTTAAATATCATGCCATTTTTATATTCTTTTTCTATGCTTTATATGTATTTTACCTGTGAAACATAAACTGTTGGCTACAGAGGCCCAACAATTTTCCTTTTGCAATATGGATTTGTATCCTTTGTCTGCCTTGTCATACAGTGGTTTGTAGTTTGAAATACATTGCAATAACAATTCATCACTAAATGAACTATTTGATCGAGCGTTGTCCATTTTAGCATTTAAAAAATAGTACTAAACAAAAACAAAATAATTAAAATTTTAACCTTACAAAAAACATAACAGTTACCAACGCGCATGCGTTAAATTCGACTCTAAAGTTATTGCGAATGGTAAATTTCGTGCCGACTTGCGTGCCAAAGTGTCACTCGCCAGCGAATTCATTACGAATGTAGCTTAATGCTGTGCAGTTTCGGGATACGTAGGAGAACGAACAAGGGGTAAAATAACCCTGCGAGATTAGTGTAAGGTGATGCCGATGGGGTTTGCCATACGTCCCCATACTCATGGTAGTATAGTAAGTGTTTCCTTTCTTTTTTCTTTGGTTTTCTGGGAGTTCTGGATGAATCGGTGAGCATATGATCGGATCATCCGTTCGAGAGATGAGAAGCGATCTATTATGGCAGTATCAGTTTCCTTCTCTACAGTTACTTTTAGGCAGGTATTTTGCTCTATTTAATAATAATAATAAACGTCTTTATTGAGAAAATAAATATACAAATTGTATAATACAATCTCAAATGGCGAAATTTGACTTATAACATTTATTGTTACAACTCATTCTTACATTTAACCATGAAATGCCAGCTTAACTGGCTGTAAATATAAATTAGAAACAAAATAAATATGTATTTAATAAAACAAAACAAAAATAAGAAAAAATCATAAATGTACCCATTAATAAATATACATAAAAAGTATTCTTAAATAGTATAATTTTAACATAACTTAAAAAAATAGGCTTCAAAAACTTTCCTTTTAAATAATTTAGCGGACCAATAAAGCATGTTAGAGCGTAAATCAAATGGTAAACCATTTACATAGCTAGGCAAAATATATGATAACCACCTTTAAAATAATTCCGTCCTGTGAGAGGGTACGGAAATAGTATTTTTAAATCTAATATTAATATTGTGAATATCGGTGCGATAGGAAATTTTGCGATGGAGGTAACTGGGGGATTTGGTTTGTAACAAACTTTGAAAAATGCAAATTGTGTGAAGCTTTCGTCTATTATTCATATCAGCCATTTATTTTTTATTAGAGTATGACGAATTCTGTCATACTTCCTGATACCAAAAATTAGTCGAAGGCAGCTGTTTTGCAGTTTTTGAATTCGTGCAATTAGCATGGACCATATATAGAATCACAGTAATTTAAACTGGATAAAACCAGGCTGTCACAGCATAGATTTTGTTTTAGTATTTAGAAAATGTTTTATTTGATAAATTTGTTTTAAATTTAAATAGGCTATTCTTAGACGGCTGCTTATATACTTTGAAAAACAAAGATCTTGATACAGTAAGAGTCCCAAGTTCTTAACACAACAGCTCCAAACGATTTCGAAGACTGAAGCTACCAAACACTATTTCAGCTGATTTAGATGCATTTAATAGCAAACAATGCTGATTAGAAAATTTTAGGATTTCATTTAAATCATAATTTATTGCTGTAATAGCTTGATAACTTTCGTCAGGATTAAAACTTAAATATAATTGCGTATCGTCAGCGTAGTAGTGGGTTGAGCTTGAAACTATCTTTGAATCAAATTGACTTATGTAAATGGAGAACAGCAAGGGTCCCAGAATAGATCCCTGTGGAACGCCACGTGTTGTTTCTAGAAAAAATGATGTTTTATTATTACAAGACACAGCCTAATATCTTCCACATAAGTACATTCTAAATAACTACACAGGAGTATGAGAAAGCCCAGCATATTTTAAAATAGATAATAATAATGTATAGTTTAAGGTATCAAAAGCTTTGGTGTAGTCAAGTAGGATAAGGCATGTAAGTTTTTTATTATCAGTGGCTTTAGTAATGGGGGCAACTATGGGATAAACGAAATCCAGATTGGTTGGGGGGTATAATGCTATGTTGATATAAGTATATTTTAAGTAGTTTTTCGAGTACATTTTCTAAATTTTTTGAAAGAGTTGGTAATAGACTAACAGGGCGCAAATGATTTAGATTAGATGGATTGGATATTTTTGGCAATGGCACAACTAAGGCTTTTTTCCATTCCTTATGAAAAACAGAATTTGATATACAGAAATTAATAATATGAGTTATATACGGTAACAAATAGGCATACATTTACAGTCGCAATATTTATACCGTCACACCCTTGGGCTATGGTCTTAATACCTGTAATAGCTTTAAAAATTTCAGTTTCAGAAACTATGTTAAAATTAAATTCTTTATTATATTCCTTAAAGCTTCCATAAAAATTCAAAAGAGAGGGCTCGGGTTTAACATCAGGAATCAAATTTACAAAATGATTTTTTATTTTCTCAGCGTCGGAAAGATTCAATGGAATATTGACTTTAACTTTGTTGCAAATATTATGTTGTTTGAGAGTATTCCAAAAATGCTTTTTGTTTGACCTTTGCCTAAGTGATGCGTCACAAAAGCCGTGGAGTTGAATTTGATCCTTGTTTATTGGGGAGTAGTGACTCCATAGAAATATGAATATCTTCGACACGTTTTAGTTGTTTATAAAAGTTATCTTATTTTTATCTTTGGAGGTACTTGTTGATCCCATTCAAGATTATTAATCCATGGTTCTTAAATAAGTAGATTTGCTTTTACCACAACTGGCGATGTCCATCCCAAGGGGTCATATAATTTTTTAACCTCGGAGAGTATTGTGCTTTTTGTTATTTGAAGTTCATTTGGTAGACGGGATACTAGCTCTGTTTTGTGGCTTAACCAATTTTTAAAATTGAATCCTCCAGATTAAAGCAAAGAAATCATTTTGTCTTGAAGGTGTTTGGCTGCTTCAATTGAATCACAACCGGTCATTAGATCATTTACGAAGAAGTCTCGAAGAGCCACGGTTGATCCTTTGATGCTTCGTCAATTGCCAACCTTTGCAGTGTTTTTATTGCTAGGTACGGCGCGGCTGCTGTTCCGTATGTCACGGTTGTTAAAGCACACTCTTTGATTGGTTGGTTTGTATCGAATCTCCATAATATTCGATAATAGTGTTGTTCATATTCAGATAAATGTATTTGTCGATACATTTTCTGGACGTCACATATGAACATTGTTATGTTACATATACATAATATATATTATATTATAATATGAAAATTGTTATACAAAAAGAAACATATCAATTTAAAATATTTTTAAAGAGCGTCAGCCAACTCCAACTGAAAGTTTATGAATTGCGCTTTAAGATATAAAATATTGTGTTGAATAAATATATATTTTCACATTCACATGTTATGCATTTTAATTATAAATTAACCACTAAAATGTAAATATTGTAAAAATTGAAATTAGCGTTAGAGAGTTTAAAAACCTCAATTTAATCTGTGCGTTCCGAATGAGGAATTTTCATTCAGTTTTTTACCAAAGGTTTCATAATTTTGTCAACCCAGTCGAAATGATTTAAATTATACCAAGTGTCAAACTTTTAAAACTTATATCATCTGATGTGGAAGAAACCCAACATTTTGTTCATCAACCATATCAAAATTCTTAACAAAAAAAGTTTTTGCCGAAACCATTTTCATGGAAATTAAATTTAGCTCTAATAATTGTTAAAAGATAGAAAATTCTTTAATTTTATAATATTATACATTTGGTTTATTGCTATGCCAAATATTATTTATCATTATTTTAATAAACCAAACCTTATAGTCCAGGATCCATGGCACATTTTTGCACTTGATTACTCAAGCTAATTTTCCGGGAGTAGCTTCATTTTGATGAGACGCCCAACAATTTCCGGTACGAAACTCTCGATTGTGGTAGCTAACAGAGGTAACAAGGATAAAACATGTCGATTTGATGATTCTCAAAAATTTATTACTAACTGTTTTTTTTTGTTAAATCTAGATAATTATCTAAATTATTCGAAAAAAATATTTGTCCTACAAAATGTATGCTTTGATCAAAGATCCTTCCAACATGTATCGATAACGAGGTCATCATAAATGATTACTAACCAGCTGATTTTTTTTTACTTAGTAAATATTTATATAATTTAACAGTCATATTGTCCTACAAATTGCGTAGTACATTACCCCGGTCCTACGCTCAAAAGTAGTAGTACAGATCCTTGATGTAAAAATAATTTCTATCAAGCTGAATCTTCGTGAATAGCTTCGTTTCGATAAGACGCCCAACAATTTCCTGTGCGAAAATTCTCGATTGTGGTAGCTAACAGAGGTAGCAAGGATAAAATATGTCGATTTGATGATTCTCAAAAATGTATTACTAACTGGGTTTTATTTTGTTAAATCTCAAGTAATTATGTAAATTATTTGAAAAAATATTTGACCTACAAAATGTCTGTGGCTTGGTCGAAAAAGGTCCTAAGTGCATTTTTACCGAAATTAAGTTATATGGCTTTTCTTACTCATCTAAACCCGATCTTTCATATGAATAAGGTTTTATTCCATTATTTTAAAAAATATAATAAGGGCCCAACTGAAATTATGGTTAAGAAAAAAGGAGCAACGTTCATGATAGGCCCTCATTTTGAGGACTTGAGTTATTTCTGTAAAAGTATTTTGATACTAAAAATGGCACAAGTGACTTATAAGCCCTTAAATATTTGACCTATGTAATGCCGTTTTTTACATTCACAATTTAATATGGAAATGG